CAACTTTGTTGAATATTTTGTTGTGACGACATTGCACAATCCAACAATTTGTCTCATTGAAAAGTTGCTTATATAGACGCGTTTCATTTGTCTAATCTTCAGATTTTTTTTAGTTTTTATTTTTTTTAATGGTAAATTTATGATTTATAACTATATTTTGTATGTAGTATTATTAACTTTGTTTTTAATTAAATTATAATTAGATTATAATATATACATTATTTATATTATTAGTTATTTTTTAAAAATCTAATGGTTTATTTATTATTAATTAAAAAAGAATATAAGTAATACTATTAATTGTTTTAATTAAAAAATTAAAAAAAAATAACTTCAAAAAATAATTTTTTTTAAGTTATTTTACGATTTAAGTCAAATTGTAAAATAACTTAAATAATATAAAACATCATTGCAAGAATTATAATTATCATCAAGTTTAAAGTCCAGAACATATTTTTCATAAAAATAAATAATTCGATAATACCTATTTAATTAAAAGAACTAGAATAAACATATTTATAGAAATAAATGAAACAAATTAGTAAAAATAGTAATAATTTAATACAAAAAAGCTATACAATGAAGTCAAAGTGAAGAAAGTAAAGAGATCGAGACAGAGATAATTTGAGAAGAATTGAAATGGTGGAATAAAAAGAAATTAAAGCTTAAAAATTCACAAGAAAGAAATGGCAATTATCCACGTGAATACACTTGCTGAACTTGACGCACTCACAAAGGAACATACCGTCATCGTTGACTTCTTTGCGACGTGGTGTGGTCCATGCCAACTTATGTTTGTTTAAATGCTATTATCACTTATTCATATGTATCACTATATTTTCATTAATGAAATTTAGTATAACGAATGACATAATAACAAAAAGGGGACCAATCTTCGAAGACCTTGCTAAGAAACACACCAACCTCAAATTTGTGAAAGTCGATGTCGACCAAGGCCAAGAAGTATGCATTAAGTATGGAGTCAGAAGTATGCCAACCTTTGTTCTCTTTAAAGGAGGCGATGTTGTTAAGAAATTTACTGGTGCAAGCAAGACAGATTTGAACAACATGGTTAACCAAGCTTGAAACCAAGTTGACTAACTTAATTCATTTGAACTTACAATATTGTGTTGAAGTTTTGTCGTTATAATTCTTAATAAAGTAAAGAATAACACCAATTGAATAAATAGACGATATCATTGATATAAAGATACCTTTAGACGCTCCAAATGGGTATTAATAACACCTTTTAATATGAACAATGACGTTCTCGCACTTGTCAATATCAACATTCTCATTCTTTGTTACTCCAACGACCATGTCTTTGCAATTTTCAATAGTGACCCGGTTTGGAGTATTTGTAATGAAAGAATCAAAGCCTTCACATGTTTTAAAATTAACAAATTTTGATCCAATTGTCACAGTGTAATTTGGTTCACATTTAATATCTTCCATGTTAACTGTTTTAATACACCTTTTCAATAGGTCTGAATCTATTTTGTTCAAATCAACATTTTTCAATTCGACGTGTTTTATTGGTGAAAAGCCGTTTTCAGTGAAAGTTGAATTTTCAATGTATATTTTGTTAATACTTGATACATTCGAAGTTGCAGTATATTTTCGTGCTATTGCAATTAAATTGATATAATTTATATTTAACGCTACTTCTGATTGGATTACTTCTATCTCTTCAAATAAAGTGTTCGAGTTCAGTAAAACAGTAGCACTTTTTATTATTTTAAGTCTTTTTGTGTTCACATGAACACTAAAATTGAGTGGCAAACTTAAATAACAACTTAAATAGTGACACGCTACATTTTTATCGTTTTTTTTGACCAAATTCCGAGTTTCTGGGTTGGACACGAAATGGACAATTATTATGAGTATTCATGTTGTAAAACCTGCAATGTGAAATTCTTAATGTTCCAAACGTAACATTTTCAATTGGAAATTTGCTACCAAAGTATTTAAACAGAGTAAAGTCAACAACGTGATCAATTTTGATGTCAAACTGCTTAAAATAACAAGATGCAAATACAACACGTGGTTGTGTTGTTTTAAGAATTGGATGTGTTTTTATGGCAAAATCAAAGACTTCAGTTTGGTGTTGAACATCCCACACTTGTTTTTGTTTAATGTCTTCAATAACAATATTTTTATTTTCACTTGTAAAGCACCTTTCAATCTCACTCATATTACTATTTAAAGTCACATTCTTATTTTTTATAAGAAAAATTTTCTTTAATTGACCTGTTTCCAATTTAAAGTAGCAATTTATACAATACCAAATTTGTAGTTCTTCACATTTTGGAATATCCAAAGACAATTTTTCATTAGTCAGAGAATACAATTCCAAGAATTTTGTAGTTTTTAGCGAAAATGTATTGTCACTAAGTTTCACATTTTGCAAAGAAATTCTTTCAACAGATAACAACATGAAAAAGTTTGAAGATAAAAATGTGTTATTTAAAACAAGTGATTTGCATGTTACGGTTTTACAAAAAGTGATTGTTTTACATTCAACACAATTTAGTGATTTTATATAATCAATTTCTGTTTGAAAGCGAAATTGTTCACATTTTATTATCACAATAGACATTTTTCCGTTTTTCTTTTGGGCATTAATTGTAATGTCAATACAACTTTCAAATTTCAAAGAGACTTTTTCAGTGACTTCAAACAAAAAATTGACAGATGTGCATTTTTTTACTTTCAAATGTCGAAGAGCTTTTGGTGGAATTTCAATTTCAGATTTTTTAATATCAATAAACACCAATTTTTTTAAAAAGTTCAAATGAAACAAATCGAACTGAAATTGTTCAACACAATACACTTTAATTTCTTCAACATTTTCGAATGGAAAGAAAGAAATACTGTTATAACGCTCCGCTGTTAATTTAGTCTCCAATTCTTGATTAAATTTGTTCTTTTTTAATAAAAAACAGCAATGTGAATACATTGTTACTTTTTTGACTGTGGGGTATTTGATTTCACTTATTAAAGAAATTTGGTGTATTTCCATTTCTTCTGCTTCAAATATTTTGGGCATTATTACATAAGCAAAATGATCTTTTCGAGTATCAAAATAGGTGTATTCCACACAAAACGACTTGATGGAATTGTCACATACAAATGAACTAAAATCAAACATAGAATTGTACATCATTCTAAATGTGACTTTTGGTACTAAACATGCTGAACACAATTGCAACAACTCCAGACATATTTTATCACTATTTAAACTCTGAAAACTATTGTGTTCACTTATGTTAAAAATGATGCCATTATTCGGTTTAACCAATTTGATTTTTTTGTACTCTCCAACGTTCACAACACTCCCCATATAATGGCCACAATGTTGCATTTTACTTGTGTATTTTGTGTAATAATTACATGCCGTCCAGTCACATACAATTTTTGTATGAAAGTCCACTGCACTGTTATCAATGATTTTGACAATTTCTTCTTCATCAATAAGTGCATCTTTAGTGTCAAAAATGGACTTTTCCATCCCAAAATTTGGTGCTTTTATAAACTCGATACACACCTTATTTGGAAAGACCTCTTTTGGTAATTTCTTTTCTTTAAACATTTCAACAAAAATGGTAAATACTGATGGCGAACAAATCAAATTGTAATTATGAGACACGTTTTCTAATACATTACGAACAATTTCTGTTGTATTCAATTCAATATCAAAATTACGAAATTTAGAAAAGAGAATTGGAGAAATCTTTTTTAACATCGAATTTGAAGCGGATTGTGCTATACATAGATTTCTAATACACTGAGCCTTTTCAATATAAATAACATCAATAGGAAAATTATTACAATTCAAAGTGAATGGAGCAAACAATGTATAAAAGAGCTCGATATCAATTGCATTGTTCAGCCAAGGATTGACTTGAAGGTGTTGCACAACTTCATAACACTTTTTGTTAATCAAAAGAAAGGTGATGACATCTTTCATTGTTTCCAGATATAAAGTCACATTTATTAAGTAGAAAGCTTCAAGTTTCATTCTTTTATGAATATTATAGAGTTAATAAAGTTCTATAATTAGATAATGTATGATAAACATCACTCATTACAATTCTTTATTAAACAACAACGTGAAAAAAAATGTAATTAAAAGAAACTCAGCACATAATTCGCAAAAGAAATTCGCTGTTGGTCAAAAGTATCAACAGAAGTATTCTCATCAAGTAGTTTAATTGACTTACAATACTCTCCTGAGATCTCAAAATGTGGTCCTGAGAGTACCACTTTCCCTTTTCCTATAGTTTTAACATAAACTGCATTCATCCCATTCTCATAGAAAGCCACGACATTATCAGTATGAGTGACACTTGACTTGTCGTCGTTATGAACAAAAGCACATCCTCCATTATAGTAAATAGAACATTGAGTTTCATTATAAAAGATCGGAACTACAACCGCCCCCGTCTCCAAATTTTCTTTAAAGTTGGGGTATAAAGGCCCAAATGCCATCCCATCGAAAAACTTGAGCGAACGCTCCTCACAAACTTCTTCTTCACCTTCTATGTGTTTGTTGAACTCAAACCGATCGCACGCAAAATAAGCGCCAGCACAGATCCCAAGATACTTTCCACCCATTTCTACATACTGTCGTATTAACTTACTCCCAGCTTCACCTAAGTTCCTATTATATGGGCGGTCAGCACCTCCGGGCATGACAAAGAGATCAGCAATACTCTGCCAATTGGTGTTGAGAACATCAGTTGCAGTGATTCGAATGACTTTGGAGTGGGGAAATAATAATGAAAACATCTTTTCTGTTTCTTTTAAACATATTTTCGAAGCACCATCGTCGGAGTATAACAAAATCGTTTTGAATTCTGGCAAAGACATATTCTGCTATTTTCGAGTGGTTTTGGTTTAAAAGAAACAAATAGTTAAATAAATCACTTTTTTGGTTTAATTATTAGTAATGATAATTGAAATATACTTGAATGATTATATTTAACTATTAATTATCTAACAGAATTTTTATTCTTTTGATACAATTAAGATATGAACAAGATGCTATAAATATTTTATATAGTTTAAATAAATATACTATAATAAGTAATAAGTCATATAACTGTATAAATAAAACAGTTTTTTGTTTTCAGTATTGTCAAAAAGAAATTTAATATAATTAATATTATTAATATAATTAATATAATTAATATAATATAATTATAATTAAAATTATTAATAATAATTAATAATAAAAACGCACTAACCGGGATTCGATACCCAGACTGTTAGTTTGGAAGAAAAAACTTCGCTGCATTGGCTTTAGTACTTTCTATAATTTACTAAATTCTATCTATATTGACTCTACTCGTTATTCAATTACTATTATAATTGTATTAAAATAAATAACAATTTGTGTTTTATTACAATTTTATTGGTTCTTAAAAGTTTTGTTTTCAATAATTTATAAATAATGATACTTTGAAACCTGATTTCCATGACTGTTTGTCAAAATTGTTCCAAATATTTTAAACACTGAATTGTAACTATTACATAGTTCAAATAACAATTTAATAACAAAATGATGAAGGGTGTTTTGGTGACAACTAAAAAATAGAAAAAGAAGTGTGAAACTTAATTAAGCAAAGAAACTGACGAATTCAGACATAGTAACATGTCCGTCTGAGTCTTCATCCATGACATTTAAAGCGGTTTTAATTTCTTCGTCACTCATTCCCTTTTTAGCAACTCTCATGAAACGAGCGAGTTCGTTTGTTTCAAGAGTGCCACTGTTATCATCATCAATAAGTCTGAACAATGTTTCATAGAGTGTTTTATCTGAGTTATCTGGCATAGCATCGAGAGCTGTCATTAACTTTAAAAATTCTGGAAAGTCCAAAGCACCATTTTCATCAGAGTCAGCCAAAGAAAAGAACATTTTGAAGGACTCAACGTCTTTACTTTGAAGATCTTTTCCCAAAGCACGGTGGAACTCTTCAAAGTCGATAGTCCCGGAGTGGTCAGTGTCAAGCTCGTCAAACGTCTCTTTCATTTCTTTCATGAAGGTTTCTTCAGCCATTGGTCTACAAATTCCAGTTTTTTGCTTCTATTTAAGTTCCAAGTTATCCGGTTTAGTTCGTATAGTTAAATTATAGTTTCAGATACTACATTTAAACTATTATAATTTAAACAATCGCCACCATTGCAATTTCAATTCTCAAAATTGCATTTGTTCTTTTATTTAATAGAAACTAAAATAGAAATACTATTAATAATTAACAAAATTATTATTTATATTTAAATTAAAAAATTTTGAGTTTTGTATTATTATTGATAACTATTTGACGACACGTGTCACTTTTTCTCCTTTTATTTGTTTTTCTGAATCATTCGTCAAACTCTTTTTTGTTTTTTCTTTTATTAACTAATCTTTATATTATAAAACAACTATAAATAAACTAGTTGTTTTTTTATTTTATTTTTTTGAGAATAACATATATAGTAATGAACTGATACTTATATAATTAAAACTCTATAGTAAAGAGTATACTATTTAATAGTATACAATAGAATGTTTAGTCAATATGATATTTCGAACAAACAAATAAAAAATGTCACTGAGTAAAAAAAGGAACTAAGAAAAAACGAACTTAAATATCATAAAAATGAACGACCCAGTAGTCCAAGTTGAAACGGTAGAGAAGAAGCCTGTTTTTCGTCTTTCGAATTATCGTATGATAGTTCATGCGATCTTACTTTCCGTCGTCAGTTGTTTATATGGTGGAGTCCCAACGACTGTGTTATTGTTAATAGGAGGGTTAATGATCTATGACAATGTGAATAGGAACACATTAAGTTTTAAAGCAGCGATTCCATTCACCGTGTTACTCTTCTTCTTCTTCCTCTCGATTTTTTTAAATGTCTTGTTGACGATGGAGAAGACGATTAACACCCTTTTGACCTTTGTCTCATTACTGTTATACACGAATCTGTATATCATCTGTGTTGCATTCAACTTCGACTTAGTCAAAGAGTTTGGGAAGGTCACGAAAGAGAATTTGAAAATAGTGTTGAACATCTTTTCATCGACGCTTGGGTTTATGACAATCCCCGTCACCACCTACGCAGTGGTTTACTTTGTCCCAACACTCGAGATGTACACACCACTGCTTTTTGTGTTTGTCCACTTCATCACGTCGCCGAAGGGAGACGACCCAATCCTCATTTCTTTTGCGTCGATGATCACGCTGATAGCGTCCATCTTCACGTATTTAGAAACGGAACAGATGTTCATTATTGTGTTACCGATGGCACTCTATTTAATTGTGTTGACACCACATCTCAACTTTTTGGTGTTTGCGTCGGTGCCTCTATTTGTAGCGAGTTGCACGATGTTGGTCACGAATGACATGATCTTCTTTATATTAAGTGGAGTCATTGCAGTGATCTTTGTCCTTTCATTAATGAAACAACCGACGATCATCGAGTCGTCATTCCTCTTCTTAGTGATGAGTGCGTTCTGCTATTTAATCATCGAGAGGACGGGAATTAATCAGGTGATGATCATCATATTGGCGGTTGGGATCTCTTTGATTGCATTCAGACTCAGATTTGCATTTGAACCGATTGTATTTGTCTCTGCGGGGTCTGCGGCGCTCACGTTGTTCCTCTTCTTGTACACCAACTTCCACTATATCTCATTCCATATCACGCGATTCATCATTTTTAATATGGACTTACACACATTCACTGTGATATACGGCATCTTTGCAGCATACACGTTGGTACTTCCATTTCTGATGATGAAAATTCCGCGTTCGGTGTTCAGTGGGATGATGATGGTGTACTCTTTTGGACTTGCGACGATCGAATATATTGTTGCTTCGCGACGGAATGGAGTTTTCTATACTGATACGTACTGTTTGGCGACGGCTATTATACTGTCGTTGGTGGCGTACTTGATGTTCAAGACTAAAAAGATCTATTTGACATCGTTTGCAGTGATCATCTCGTTCCAAATCGCTAAACTGTCGATGTTTGTCTTCCCCCGCTATCTGTCGATATTCAGTATTGCAGTCTTCTTGTCGACGATCATCATCAGACACAGCTATCACCCTAAAGTGGCGACTGACTCACTTTACTTCATTGTGAATCAATTCTGGAATTTTGCGGCGTCGTTGGCGATATCGGCGACGTTTGTTTCGACGCTTCACGTGATATATATTGGGACATCGCCGACATACTTGCAAACGGTGTTAGAGGCCCTTTTCTTGATGTGTGTGTTATCGACGCATGAGTGTTATGTACTGAACAATGGGATGTTTGTGATTCCATTCACCGGGTGCTTTGTCTGTGGGATTTCTGTGCTTGTTTCGCTTGGCGCGGAATCATCTGTTGACCAACTTCTTATCTTCTTCATAGTGTGTTTGATGGTGTTTACAAGTTCGACTCACAGCTATTCGATTGGAAAGAATCTGATGACGCGGGTTGTCTTTGAAGTGTCACTTGCGGCATTGTTTTCACATTATTTAGTTGGATTTCTGCCCGATATGCCAATTTGGTATCCCGTTGTGTTATTTGTCCCTGCGCTGTGTGGGATCATCATCACCGCAGAGACCATCTGTTACAACCAAATGACTATCAAATTCTTGTTACCACTCTATGGAGTGATGGTTGTGTGTATGCCAATAAGTACTGCATTGACGTTGCTTGTCACGATTAATATGATGAAATTGCGATCGATTGCGTCAGTTCTGGTTGCGTTACACTTCACGTTACATGTGTGTATACTCATTGCTAACAACGTACAACAGAAAAAGGTCATGAAAGGGTTTTCATATAACACGCTGATGACTGTACTGAGTGGGCCGTGGTCGATTTGTATGGGAATCTTTTTGCACTACTTCATATTAAACGGGTCATCCCTTGCAGCCGTCATTTTCTTGCCACTGATTGAACTTGTGGTGATTGAAAATTACATCAAACTGAATGAGTACAAAAAGTCTGCGGTTGTTGTGTTTGCCATTATTGTGACATTGCCTGTATTGACTGTTTCAAGTGCACTCAAGTACGGATTCAACATCTACGTACTCACCACATACGCGTTTGTGATTGTATGGAACTTTTACTTCATCGACTTTGCGTTCTGGTTGTTCAGAGGGAAGTCGTTACTCCCATTCACGTGGATTGCTGGGATCGTCCAGTTTGGCTTGGCTGTAGTCATTTTAATGTTCACGACGAATGACTTGTACGTCACGGAGTGTTTCTTGGCGCTAGTCATAGTCCCCATTTCTCTTTATATGAAGTGGACTGTAGAGCCCGAAGACAAAGAGTCGTTAGAGCTATAAGAAGACTTTGAAAGGTGTTATTGTGTTACGTTGAAAGTATTATAACTATAGGAGAAAGAACTATAAAGAACTATAATAAATACCATTCTGCACGAGAGTTAATCCAATTGCACGACTACTATTCTCTGTGCAACAAACTTGTCGTTTCGGAGACCGGAGAAGAGTTCCGTCCCACAATCCGGCACGTTATTGAAATTCCTTATAAAGTCTTTCTTGCGCATAGCAGTGCACTCGTACTGTCCGATTTGATAACAATTTGACACTGCAAAGATGTTGGTAATGTCGCGATTGGGGAAGAGGATTAGACTCTTCTCGACACTCTTTGGAGTGTATTTTGCACCGGGAAGGCCAAAGGAGTTTTTACAAGAAAACACAAAGAAGTGGTGGTCCCCCGTCACCTCCTCCCAACGACTTTTTGGAGGAGAGACGATCGTTTGTGTGTGATAAGAGCCAAAGACATCAGTGTTACCGGAGATGACATATACGGCTATCTTATGTTTCCCACATACAGCGGAATTGAAGATTGAAACATCACGGCCGTTTGCTTCTGAGTTGTATATGACCTTTGCACTGACGGAATTGGTCCAGTCTTGAACCATTTTGATATACTCCGGTTTAAGTCCACTAAACTCATCGGAACGATTCCGAGAGAGGGCGACCGCATAGGGAACAGGTATCCGCTCTTCAACATAACGCACTTTCAAGTCATCGATGGTCCGAGCAGCAGCCATGTTGGCGACTATTTGAACTAAAGAGGAAGATGGTATCCGCCCAACGTGCATGTCTAAGGCGATTTGAAACTTGTCAAGGGGAAGTGCGGCTAGATGCTTCTTAGTTTCATCCTCGTCAGACGCTATTTCAGAAGAGAAGTCTGAGAAGTGGACGAAATCGTCTTGAGAGAAGGAGTACAAAGACTGAAAGAGTGCTTTGAGTTCTGAGTCTTCGTGGACAGTTAAATAAGACATCGCTTGGGGAGTTGTTTGAATGTGAAAGAAATATGAGATGATGTGATTTAATAAGATTGTGTGAGAATTTAAAGACTGAGTCAGTTGAGTCAAATGTTGAAACATCGCTTCGTTTGAGGAATCATGAGGATTGGATAATTGTTTCATTTGACGATTTCAGATTGTAAATAATTAGTATGGAAAACACTTTTTGGTTTGTTTTTCTATTAGTTGTTAATTAATGTATTAAGGGATTTCTTATATCTTGATTATTGTATTTACTTTTAATTATAGTTAATTTATTTTAAACAAGTGATTATTAAAAAGGTGAAATTTTTTTGATTTAATTGTGATAAAAATAGAAATGTTATTTTTATAAATAACATTTTTATATTATAGAAATTAAGGTAAAAAAATTAATTTGCTTTATTTATGTGTAAAAAAATAGGCATTAAGGATAACAAAAAAAATAGATAATTACAAAAAGTAATATTAGAAATAATTCCCGTAATATTACATTTATTATGACCAAAAATTCAAAAAAGTTTACAGACTGTTTTAGTATTCAAATTATATTATATTTTATTGATTTTTTGGTACAGGCAGTGAAGTGAAGGTATAAATTTTCAATTGAATACTAAATAAAAGGGTTTTCTTATTTCAAAAATATTTTATTTTGATTGGCTAAAACAGTCATTCTCAATAAAACCCTTATTTAACAAGCCGAATTTGTCCTTATTATTATAACAAATATTGACATTTTGATTATCTTGTTACCATTTTGTTTGTTTGAAAATAATATTTTATAGTTTTTTTAACCATTTAAAAACTATAGAAAAACAACAATCACACACTAACCAAGAAGCGAATAAACCAATAAAAAAACATCACTTAACTTGGCAACAAGTTTAACTCCATAAATCCAGCTTCATCACAATCAAATAAATGATAAGTGTGTTTGTTTTTGCAAGCTCGCCCAATAGCCACACTCACAACTTACCATTAATTAAAGATTTTAAAGATGATGAAATAAAATTTAATCTTTGAATATTTATGTAATAAGTGGCTAAACAATGACAAAATAACAATAACAAACGTGTAAAATAACACCAAAAATATTTAATCTTTGTTTTCTTTTTTAACAAGAGTTAATGCTTGGTGTTTGCCTTTTTCTTCTTTCGACTTCAATTTATTTTTTAAGTTCGTTCAATTTTATTTTTCAACTTATTTTTTCAGCAAAGTCGAATTTAAAAATAATCTAAAAATGGGTCTAAATTTTTTCAAAATATTTTTTTAGTTTTATTGACCAAAAATTTAAACCCGAAAAAACAGTTAAAATATGACGTAAAATTGTTCGATTATTCTCAAAACCCTTTTATTTAGTATTCAATTGAAAATTTATACCTTCACTTCACTGCCTGTACAACTGTTTGTCACTGATTAAAATGTAATTATTTTTTTATTATAATAATAATATTAAACTAATAATTAATAAGTAATCATTGTTAAATGGTATAATTATAATTATTTTATTTATTTTATATATATATAGTATAATTGTTAAGTATCATAACTATATAAGGAATTATTTATTAATAGTTTATAATAATAATAAATAAGGATAAACAAATTTGTTAATATAATAAAAAATATAATACAACGTATAATAAAAGAAATGATTATAATTATTAGTTGATTAAATTAAAAAAGTTCAGAAAAAGTTTGTAATAATTTAATCCATATTCATTTAGTTTTTGGACAGGAAAAGTCGAAACATTAAAATTACAATAAAATCAGAAATGAATTATAGAAAAACAAGAAATAACAGATCGAAACTTAAAAAAGATATGAGTGAGAGTGTGGAACAGCAAGAAAAGCAATCTGTTCAACCTGACATAACACAGCAACCCGAAGAAATCAACGTTCAAGTTCAAGTTGTAGATTCTTCAATTAAAAAAGAGGAAGAAAAAACTAATGACGTGGCGGCTATTCCAAAACAATCAGAGACAAAAGAAAGTGATGAGATTGAGCAAAACGATGACATCAAAGAAACTGTTTCAAACAACGAAGACGTCATAAAAGAAAGTGATGAACATCTCAATGATGAAAAAGTGATTGAAAAAGACGATGACAAGAAACCATTAGAAATAGAAAGTAAACTACAAGAAATAGAAAAAGATGAGGAGAGTCCAAAAGAACACGTGGAAGACAACAATGGACTTGCAAAGGAAAAAGAACAAGAAAATGA